CCTGGGGTTTTCTATTTGTTTAAGACTGGGTCTTACTCAGTAGCCTTGGCTGCCTAGAACTCCCTTTTGTTGTTGTTGTTGTTGCTGTTGTTGTTGTTGTTGTTGTTTTGAGACAGAGTTTCTCTGTGTACCCCTGACTGTCCTGGAACTCACTCTGTAGACCAGGCTGGCCTCACTCAGAGATCCGCCTGTCTCTTGCCTCCCAAGTACTGGGATTAAAGACGTGTGTCACACCACCTGGCCTGGAACTCACTATTTAAACCAGACTGGCCTTGGCCTTGCTCTGACAACATTTCAGGTTTTGCTTCCCAAGTGCTAGGATTGCGGGTGTCCCACCCCTTTCCCGGACAAAGGTCTGCAGTCGGAGCAAGTTCCCAGGTGACTCCCACCCACCAATTGCACTGACTAGCAAAGCTATGAGTCAGCCACCAGGCTGTACATTAGAACTATCCAATGAGAGTTATAAAATATGGACTTTACCCCGGGGGTGCAGGACTGTCCTCCACGCCACACTGCGGCCATCCTCAGGAGTCTGGCTGGGTCTCTTCACAAAATACCATCATAGCTGCTCTAAATAACTGTGGACATTCCTTCATGGAGGGAGGGGCAGGGAGGGGCAGAAGACCCTCATCTGAGTATGCAGACACTCTTCCCAACCAGTGGTGAACAAGTCTGCCCTAATTGCAAACGGCTGCAGGGTCTCAGAAAGGGCAGGAGCACATAGGTGGGGAAGGACCAGTGGAAGGGGCTCCGTCTACACAGCCAATGGGAAGCCACCATCCATGCTGGGTGCAAACCTTCCAGTGTGGCTGCTCTAATGTCACTCAGGCCCCTTCCTGTAAACCCTCACCCATCGCTCGGTCAGAAATCCTAATCGACTAACTTACTGGTTCCCAAAGGGAACATCGGTGGGATCAGACTTTGTTTTGTCTTTGGGACCGTGGGAAGAGAGGGTAGACATTGTTTGTTTCCCTCTAGGAAGGGGGTTGAGCAACAACACCCTGGTTCTAGATCTACTGAATCAGAATTCCCATGGTGCAGTGCAGGTGTCTATAATGTTAGTACGCAGCCCAGACAATTCTAGTCCTCTGAAGCTGAGAACCACTGGCCTGGGGCCTGGAATGCTCTCTAAATCCGATCTCTGGATAATTCCAGTTCATTCACTCGCTGCTCTTTGTTGAGCTTTTACTCCCTGCCATCCACTGGCTGTGGTGAGGACAAACACAGCAGAAACACAGCGGGGGGGGGGGGGGGGCGGGAATCCAGGCGTGTGACATAGGAGCACAGGATGATTGGTCAAGATCAGGAAGGAATGACGCCGAGCAGACGCCGAGCAGGGTGGTGCACCAGTGATCCCAGAGCTGGGGAGGCAGAGACAGCTGGATCCCTGGGTTCTCCCAGGCTAGTCTGCTTGGCAATCCCCGGGCCAGTGAGGGATCCTGCCTCAAAAACCCCAAGGTGAATGGCTTCTGAGAAAGGCTTTCTGAGGTGGACCTCTGGCCTCCACATGCATGCCCATACATGTGCACATACAAACAGAAAAGAAAGAGCAGGAAGGTGTCTCTGTAGGAAGTGGAGGTGGGGTGGAGCTAAAGGATCTATTAGCTTAGAACACAAAACAAAAGGGACCCAGTGCTCCACACACTGGGATCGTCTAGAGTTCACTGGGGAGGAGAGGGTGGGTGACAGAAGGAAATGATGAAGAGATCATGAAGGCACTAAGCTCAGAGACTGAGCCTCGTTCTCAATGCTAGGATTCTAAGAAAATTAAATGCTGAGGGCCTGGTGATGCAAGTCTTTAGTCCCAGTACTCAGAGGACAGCCTGGTCTACATAGCAAGTTCTAGGACATCCAGGACTACATAGAGAGATCCTGTCTCAAAAAAATCAAAAGAAAGCTAAATGTAGCCCTGGCTGTCCTGGAACTCACTCTATAGCCCCGGCTGGCCTTGAACTCAGAAGTCCTCTGAGAAGTCCTCTGCCTCTGCCTCTCAAGTGCTGGAATTAAAGGCGTTTGCCGCCACCACCCAGCTCAATATAGATACTTTATTCTTCAGGTTTTTTTCTCTAAATAGTGAACTTTCTTGATCCTTACACAGAAAAAATGTGGTCTCCCTAGACTCCCAGCTCATGATATCTTTAATGTGGTACAGGATCATTCTAAGTAAAAGATACACAGTACCTGCCCACAGAAAGGCCAAGGGTAGGCCGGGCAGTGGTGGCACATACCTTTAATCCCAGCACTTGGGAAGCAGAGGCAGGCAGATCTCTGTAAGTTCTAGGCCAGCCTGGGCTACAGAGTGAGTTCCAGGAAAGGTGCAAAGCTACACAGAGAAACCCTGTCTCAAAAAACCAGAAAAGAAAAGAAAGAAGGAAAGAAAGAAAGAAAGAAAGAAAGAAAGAAAGAAAGAAAGAAAGAAAGAGAGAGAGAGAAAGAAAGAAAGAAAAAGGAAGGAAGGAAGGAAGGAAGGAAGAAAGAAAGGCCAAGGGTAGACCCAGAATCGTAAGTGCAAGCAAGGCAAACAAGCCCCTGCCTTGGAGAAACTCAAAATTCACTGTAAGAGGTGGATAAGTAAATAACTCACAGTATAGCTATGCTTTGCATACACCATAGCAGAAGTGTGGGGAAGCACCTTAGAATCACAGAGGGGAGGAGTCACTCTTGCAAGATGAAGGATAGGGACGGAGGGGAACTTCAGAGAGACTGCTGGTTCTGAAATGGGGGATGAAGGCTAAGAGTGCATCAGGTGGTGATGCGTGGAAGGGAGGTTCTAAGCTACCAGACAGCTATATAAAAAAAGGTATGGGCCGGGCGGTGGTGGCGCACGCCTTTAATCCCAGCACTCGGGAGGCAGAGCCAGGCGGATCTCTGTGAGTTCGAGGCCAGCCTGGGCTACCAAGTGAGTTCCAGGAAAGGCGCAAAGCTACACAGAGAAACCCTGTCTCGAAAAACCCAAAAAAAAAAAAAGGTATGGAGTAAGAACAAGGGGTGGGTGGAATAATGGGGTGATTAGTACTTCCACTGCGAACAGGAGGGCTGGAGAAGCACGCAGGGCCAGAGCACCAAGGGCTTGGATGCCAACTTTGGTTGAATTTGTTCTTCTAGCCATACACCTACAGATTTTCAAACCCCGAGTTTAGTCGTTTGACAAAGGGGTCCCATTGAATGACTCTTTAGACTGCAGCCACTTTCTTCTACTAGGTCCTTTATTTCCTCCTGGTCCCCTGATCCCTGGATCTCCACACAGGTCTGGATGTCGGTAGAGACAATTGATGTTTTTCAGAAAGGATTTTATATTCTCCCCCATGACATTATATACTGCATACAAGAGATTCTGATGCTTTGCACTTAGGCGGGATGGATCTGTTCCCTCCTCAAGGGAGGAGAATTAGATATTCAGTGGTTTTGAATGTTGATGTTTTCTAAAGACAATTACATTGTATTATTTTGTGTGGAGGTCAGAGGATGTCCTTCACAAGTCAGTTCTCGGTGTGTCTCGGGGTGAAGCCCAGGTTATCAGATCAGTGGCAAGAGTCTTTATTCACTGAGCTATCTCACCAGTCTGACATTGAACCAAGTCTCCTGCCTCGACCTCCCCAGCGCTAGAATTACAGGCATGTACCACCACACCTGGTTGGCTTATGCGATGCTGGGTATCGAACCCACGCCTTCATGCATGCTAGGCAAGCACTCTACCCACTGTGCCACATCCCCAGTTCCCATTATTTTTGAATTTCGTGCTTAGTTCTTCAGTAGATGAGTGTGGAGCTAATTAGTGAACTTCCTGTTCAACTCGAGGTCTCCAAATAAGGACAGAGCTGAGACAAACTCAGGTCCCCTGAACTCCAAATCCAGTGCTCTTTTGGGTGTGTTCCAACTCCTAGCTCTGCCTACCTACTTAGGAAACAGACAAAATGTACTCGACTGCCTCAAATCTACAGGGTCCTGACGGAGAGCTGGAGCAAAATGAAGGTTGTGTTCCCAGAACGGAATTCTGTTGGGCTTCAAGTCGGAATAATTCTGTGTCTTCTGCTACCTCGCCCTCTCTTTTTTCCTGTAAAATAAATGGTAGCAGAACCTATTAATTCTTCAGCTACAGATGAGACAGAGACCAGGGAGTGGGATGTATGTTGCTTGTCTGTGGTGATGGATGAGGGATGTTCAAGTTGAGGAATCTTCCAGGCAGAGTTGAAATTTTCAGGACCCTCTCCTAGGGCAGACTGAGCCTAGAAGACACTCAGAGCCAGAAGACAAGGGGTTTCCTCTTGGTAGGGAGCCTGGTTGTTGTTTTTTCTTTCTTTGAAAATTTCGAGCTAAAAAAGGATGCTTATTTCCGGTTCCTGTACATTCTTTTTCCTCCCTTCCGTTTGCTTTAAGACAGGGTCTCATGTAGCCCAGGATGGCTTCAAACTCGCTATGTAGCTGAATGTAGCCTAGAACTCTTAATTTTCTGCCACTGCTGCTCCTGCAGATTACAGGCAGGTACTCCCAATGCCCCGCTGTATAGTTTCTAAAACACTGCCCAGCGGAGCGGGCAGGGCAGTTGAGCAGAATTCCGAAGCCACTCACTTTGAAAACTTCAAGCTTGGGAAACGCCACGTGGACCTAGTACGAGAGAAGCATTTTGCCTTCCAAATTATATTGGTGAGATAAGTATGCCTATTGTTCGATAAATCTAGAACCGTGGGGAGAATGTTGATCATGTTCTTTCCTTAGAAGACATGGAAGTTTGAAATGTTCTCGGTCTCTGGAGACCAAGCCTTGACAGATGCCAGGCTTCAGCGTTTCTTTTCTCTGGCTCTGATTTCTGTCTAGTTCTGGGAAAGGAAAGGAGGACTGCTTCAGAATGTATTCCCAGCTGCCCTGGGACAAGAAGCCCGTCTTACTGTCTACAGATCGCTTCCGGCTACGGTGGGCGTGGCTCGCCCGTGGGCGTGGCCACAATGTGGGCGGGCTCTCGGAGAGGGCCGAGTGTGGGCGGGGCCGCCTCCTGTCTGTGCCCGGAAGTGCCCTTGTGGGCCGTGATGAACTAGACGATAAGTCCCTGACACGGTGTCCCCGGCCTTGAGGGCAGCGGCCTTCTTGCTTGGGAACTCCCTCAGCCGCCGCGTTCCCGAGCCGCCCTTGCCGCCCGGGACGATGATGCCGCGCCTGCTGCTGCGCGCCTGGCCCCGGGGCCCCGCGCATGTTTTGGGAGCCTCTAGTCGGCCCATGAGTGCCAGCTCGGGGCCCGACGAGTACCTACAGCACAGCATCGTGCCCACCATGCACTACCAGGATAGCCTGCCCAGGTGAGCCCAGCCTCCTGGCACTTAGGACTTGCACTGAACTCTCCGTCGTCCCCCCACCCTGCGACCTCCCGCCCATAGGCAGCCTCGTTCCCGGGTTTGGAAAGTCGGAGACTGAGAATTCCCTGTCTCAGAAGACTCAGAAACCTTAAGGTCCCCTCCACAATCCTCCCTTCTACAAACTTCCTATCCATTGATCTTTCGGACAGCTATCCTGAGCCTCTCACACTTAACCACCTTCCAACTCGGGTAGCCAATTGCTAACACGGGTCATCCTCAGGTCAGTTTCCACTATTCACTTTCTTTGCCTCTTGCTGAGACCTCTCAGCCCGCTCCTCTTCCAGTATCCTGCTCTGTTAGTGCCTCATCAGTTGCTGCAAGAACACCTTTATCAATTTCCACTCCCCATTTTAACTTCTAAGATCAGCCCTAACCTAGAAACTTTTCACCCCCACCAAACCTTCCTCAGCACCCCTTGTGGGGTGGGGGTGGGGGGCCAGCACCTCACCCAGACTATCTGACCTACCCAAACAGTCCTAATAAGTGTCCCTCTCCCCTATAGCCAGGACTTCCCTAAATCTGGCGTCTAGTTTTCTCTTTGATCTCTCAGCTTTGATCTGGGTGGCCAGATCTACTCCAATAATAGAAATTACCTTTCACTCTAAGCCAAGCCTAAACTGTCTTTTCCGGGCTCACTGTTTATTTCCCAGATCAAACTCTAAACCTGTCTCAGAATCCCTTCTCACTATCCTCTGGTCCAGCCTCCAGGGACCCTCCTGTCCAGGAGCTGGAGGTCAGGGCTTCCTGCTCCATCCAGGAAAAGATAGACATTGTACCAAGGTGGTATTCCCAGCCGTGGGGTTTGTGTTTTCCTCCACATCCAGCAGTTATTTCACCCAGTGTCATCTGCCCACCCTGCCTTCTCAGCAGGAACATGAGTGTGCAGACAAGTGAGGCAAACTGCAGTGGGGTTATCCAAATTCAGCAGGAAGATGGGGGAAAGAAAAGGGGTCTTTGTAATTTCGGGGGAGAGGGTGTAACCCAGCCGCTCTTGACAGCCCGTGTGAGCTGCACCCGTATGTAGGGGAAAGGTGAGGACTTGGGAAGACCTGTTTATATTTGCTGAGTCAGATGGTTCTGACTTGGAGGCAGGCCTCAGCCTCACCCAGGTTTAAGATCAGATGGACTGTTGGCAGTTTAGAATTGGGAACCTGTAAGAACATTCACCATAATTTAGTCCCTTCCACAGCACAAACATCTGTAAGATCTGGAAGTAGAAACAGTATTATTAGTCAGGTGTAGTGGCCAGTGCCTTTAATCCTAGCACTCAGAAAGTGGAGGCAGGCTGAGTTCAAGGCCAGCCTGTTCTATATAATGAGTTCCCGGACAGCCAGGGGTACATAGTGAGACCTTGTCTTGAAAGCAAAAACCACTCCCCCGCCCCCCCCAAAAAAACCCAAAAATGCATACTACTGTATTCCCCGTAGGGAGCAGCCAGATTTCCCGGTGCATCATTTAGAAGTGGGAGTTTGATGAGATACTTTCTGTGTCAGCAGTTCTAGGCTAGTAAAATATATTCTCTTGGACACTCATGTTGATGTCACACTTGGCAAGGAGCCCTGACCTTGGTGTTCGGGAGAACTTAGTTTCAGTGTCTGCCACTAGAGCTATAGTTTTGCACATTTAAAGAGCTACAGTCATCTGTGAGGTAAATGGCAACACACAGTTCTTTGGACTATTAGGAGGTACTTGAGGTAAGATGCCAGAGGTGAGGAAAAATCATTGTCTCTCCCTAGTCTGTTCCTCTTCTCACTGCTTCCTTTTAGCCACATTGGCCTTGGACTCTTGCTAGTAGGAGCCCTTGAATTATCATTTGCTCGTTTTGCTTTGTTTTTAAGTTGTGGGTTTTGTTGTTCCTGTGTATGCTAAGATGTATATAACTGGGGTCTGGAGAAACGACTCAGTGGTTAAGAGTGATTGCTACTCTCCAGAGGGCCCAAGTTCACCTCCTAGCACTCACATCCAGCGGCTCCCAACTGCCTGTAGCTCCAGATCCAGAGAGAGTAATTAGCATTAAACACGCCCATACAAAGCCCTTGTACAGAGTTTGGCAGAGTTGGCACTCGGTAGGCACCCACAAGCGGGGTAACTGGTCAACAGACATCGGTTGCATGTCTAAAGTGGACTAGAAGAGAACTGTTGCACTGTGTGAGCAGCAGTGTCTGCATGAGTGAGGGAGCCTTACAGAAGAGATGACACTGAGCTGGACTCTGACATTTACCAGGCGAGAGGAGGGGCAGAGCTGCTCACCAGGAGAAGGCGTTCAAACAGTGTTGTACACAGAGGTTGAGAGGTTGGCAGCAGGTGTTAGCACAAAGCTTCACCATTCAGACCTTGTTGGGGTTGGGTCGGAATGTTTAGCAGAGAGGGACCTCATGGGGAGTCGTAGTTGATCTACAGTGGATCCATAATAAATGCCAGTTTTCTGTTGCTTTTCTTTTAACCACCTTCAGTGATAGCACGTGTTCAAAACAGAATGAGCAGAGAGGCAGCTTTTACCAGGCCACTAGGGTAACAGGTAGAACTAATTTGTGAGCCCCAAAGGCATGTCTTTCAGGCCAATCTGTAAACAGACATTTCCTGTCCCAACTGCTTGGTCCCAAATAACCAACTCAGAGGCTGAATATGAATTACAAATGCTTGGCCAATAGCTCAGGCTTGTTACTAGCTAACTCTTACACTTAAATTAACCCATAATTCTTATCTATGTTTAGCCACGTGGCTTGGTACCTTTTCTCAGTAGCGTTCTCATCTTGCTTCTCTGCATTTTCTGGCAGCTCTCTGACTCTGCCCTTCTCCTCCCCATCATCCTTAGTTTGGTCGCCCTGCCTATACTTCTGTCTGGTTACTGGCCAATCAGTGTTTTATTAAACCAATTCAAGTGACAAATCTTTACAGTGTACAAGAGGATTATTCCACAGCACCAGTCTTCTTGACTTCCAGAATAACTTTATTCCCAAATGACTCTTGTGAACATATACCACTATCCCAATTCTAACTAGGTCCTGGAGACAGGGAAGGCATTTTAGCTGTCTTCTTGCAGGAAGAATGCCAAAGCCCCTGCTATTGGGAGGCAGACTGGGTATGAGAGCAGATGACTCAGTAGCTTACACAGGAGGTAAATCTGCTTAGCATTTTCCCTTCTCCTTTATTAGGGCAACTAATAACAACTATTAGATGGGGGTAGGGTGGAACAGGAAAACACACAGTTAAGATGAAATTGCTGTGAGTGTCTCTCCAGACGCTGGCTCTACCTCTTTTGAGGCCTGGTGAGTCACACAAAGGAGCCAAAGGAACTGCTGTATACTGGCAGCCACTTCTGGGGTTTCGTGGAGGAAACCAGGGTAGTACATAGAGACCAGGTGCTCTCTGTCTTGACCTTGTTACTGGAAGAATGGTTGGTGAACACTCTATAAAAAGCAGATTGTTTTAATAAGGGTCTTTGTACATGTTGCAGAAAGTCATTTAAATTGGCTCAAGTAACTTGAGATCGATGAGCTCACACAGGCTTCCAGAATCCACAGGGATGCTCTTTTGCCCTCCTGCTGACCTCTTCATTTGTGTGACTTCATTCTCAAGCAGGTTTTCTCCTCATGGTTGTAGAAAGGGAGCCAGCACATGAGACAGAGCTCACACCCACATCTCTTGGTGACCACAGCTAATGAAGATTGCCCATTGCTAGAAATTCCAAGATTCCTGTCTCACTGGTTTTCACTGGGTCTCCTAAGGTCTGACCAGGAGGCCATAAGCCCACATTCAGGGTGGGTCTTCCCACCTCTTAACCCAACTAAGAAAATTCCTCACAGGCGTGCATGCAGGCTAGCCCAACTCAGACAATTCCTCATTGAAATTACCCCCTTGTGATTGCAGAATGTGTCAATTGACAGACAATTAAAAACAGTCATTATACAAGATAGTAGTCTAGGCTGGCAGGTCTGCTACCCCAGGCACCCGGTCTCCAGCTACATCTAGTCCTGGAATTACACCTAGGCTGCCACACCTGGCTTCTTTTTTAAAATGGGTTCTGGGGACTCAAACTCTGGTCCTCAAGCTTGTTAAGCAAGCACTTTACTTACTGAGCCATCTTGCCATCCCAGAATTCCCTGTTTTCACGTATATAATTTTTAGCATATTCATAGCATCGTCCACACATCACCACTGTCAAATTCATTTCCTCATCCTTTCCCGTCAAACCCTGTCGTTAATTCGACACCTCCCATCCTGCCTGACACCACTTTAACCCTTGACCTTCCTTCTGGAGGGAGACTTAATGTTTGAACTCAGGGTTGTCAGATGCAACATCCGTACACTTTCCAGCATGCCATACTGTCTGTAACGAGAATAAACAGTTATCAGGATCACGCTGCTCCAGTTCCACCCCTATTTCCTGCTTGGAGGAATCTGGAAAGGCTGAACTGGTCCAATTAGAGTAATCAACTATTAGAACATAGACGGTCCTGAGGAGACTCGGATATTTAGGGTGAGGGGAGAGGAGGGAAGAAACAGATGACGGTGTCAGAACCCATGGGATAGGGGGAGGGTTTCTAACCGTTCTTCTATGTGATGACAATTTCAACCATCCATTAATGGTCTCACAGTCTGGTGAGGAGAAAAATCAGTAAGAAAGTAAGAACTGCCACTAAATTAACAAAAAAAGAACTGTGTGTGTGTGTGTGTGTGTGTGTGTGTGTGTGTGTGTGTGTGTGTGTGTACCCAAGTGCACGCATGTGTTGTATGGGCATTCCCGTGCTGTGGTGGATGTGTGGAGGTCAGAGGACAAATTGCAGGTTCTCTTTCACCATGTGGGTCCATGGGGATCCAACTCACGTCATTGGGCTTGGTGGTGAATGCCTTCGCTCCCTGAGCTCTCTTGCTGGCTCCTGCCACCAAATTTAATAGAGGAAAAACCGGGAGAGTGGGTTCTTCTTCCTGGGAGCAGGCTAATATTGAGAGAGTAACTCTGTTACAATAGCATTTGAACTGGCACAGTGACTCACCTCTGTAACCTCAGCACTTGGCAGGAGGATTGTCATGAGTTCTGGGTTTTATAGCATGACCTTGTCCCCCAAACAACAACGAAGCAAGTTCGGCCTTCCGTGGCCCGTGTGCTGCTACCTCTGTCATGTTGTGTAGCAAGATGGCCTTCAAGAGTCTAGCTTTCTGCCAGGTGAGGTGGCCCACACCTTTAATCTCAGCACTGGGGAGGCAGAGGCAGGTGGATCTCTGTGAGTTCCAGGCCACCTAGAGCTACATGGTGAGACCCAGACTCTGAATAACAAGAAAAGTCTAGCCTTCTCAGACTCCCCAGCCTCCAGAGCATGAGAAGTTTCTATTTGTAAATGATGTCACCTTGTATTGTTGTAACAGCCTAGAACAGACTAAGGTTGGGTAGGAGAGAAAGTAATGAGCTAATTCATCCAACATAAGTTTATCAAAAGCCTTCCCTGTGTCGATCCATGTACCAGTAGTGATCAGAGGAGAAATTCTACAGGAAGAATTACGAGTGGAAAGGGACTTCTCTGTAAGATCTTCGTGGATTCATACGCATTGACATCCCGCTGCTGGCTGGTGCCGGCTGGAAACTGGCCGGAGTGTTTATGCAGCGCAGAACCCAGCGGGGGCTACAACTGAGGGTCTGTCCCAGGAGCTCTCCTGGGGTGAGCCAAACAGGCCTCTCCTCCCCTAAGTCATTTCGCTTAGGACTTTTGTCACGGCAACAGAAAACCCCTGAATTCTGCAATTAGTAACTCAAAACAAAGTCATTACTCTGAAAATGCCCTTATTTCACTGAAGAAAGTTTAGTCAGACCAGAATTGATCATTGAGAAGTTTTTATTTATTTTTTGTTTTTTTCGAGACAGGGTTTCTCTGTATTGTTTTGGTGCCTGTCCTGGATCTTGCTCTGTAGACCAGACTGGCCTCAAACTCACAGAGATCTGCCTGGCTCTGCCTCCTGAGTGCTGGGATTAAAGGTGTGCGCCACCACCGCCGCCACCACCACCACCACCAGGTGAGAAGTTTTTATGGAGTTGTTCTTAACAAATGGTTGCCATTTCTGATTTACAGTTTTCCTTAAAAAGAAGGAAAAACTTTCCTTAATCCCTTGGTGTTAAAGCCTAATAAATATAAGTAATAAAATTTATAATTATGAGGTGGTATTTGGAACTTCCTGTATAAGTCAGTGGGGCTTAAGTCTTCTGAATGGTTGGTTACTTGGAGCATATAAGTTCATAATGGCTATAAATAATTTGTACTTGTTTTTATCATCAAGTTGCAGATAAACATGCATTCAAAAATAAATGGATGCAATATAGTATATCATAAACTGAGCTATGCTTTGTGGATAATGGGTCAGTTTTCCTGAATGACGGATACAGTTCAGTATTTTGCATATAACTGTTAATTTCATCATGGTAGAAGAAAAGTAAGCCAGTATTGTGTCAATACCAGGGTGTGTACTTTTCAGTGAAACTATTGAAATGGCAGAGAAGAGGCCTTGCTGTCTGCTGTTCATTTCGCCATTGGGCCTGTGTGCTCACCATCACCGCCACCACTGGGGAACCCACTCTGGAGTCAGTTAGCAGTGGCCCCTGCTGGTGTTTGAGCACATGGGCTGCCTGGTGACTCCTATCGGATGCTCATGCTGCCCATCGCCTGGTGGTCACTTTCTGTCTTTCAATTGTAGCCTCCATATTGAGCTGAGACAGGGATTCTCTCTGTCACCTTGGCTGTCCTGGAACACTCTATATAGACCAGGCTGGCCTTGAACTCACAGATCCGCCTGCCTCTGCCTCCCAGGTGCCGGGATTAAAAGCGTGCCCCACCACGCCCAGCTTTGTTTCACCCTTATGTGATTCTCTTTTGTAAAATGCACAAGAATGTCTTACAAAGAAAGCTTTTTTTCTTTGCGTCCTGGGTGTAGGGAATGTTTGTTCAGTCAAAGGGTAGGGCTTAGTGCTGTACAGGGTTAGCAGTTACCATAGCTGTGGCCAGGAAACAAGAGTGCTTGGGGCAGCCTCTGTTTTCCCGTTTTGAATCTATTATTATCATTAAAATATTTTATAATAATTTACTTAGAATAGACTTAACTGTTGATGCAACAGTAATTCATCAGTTCTGATTGTTATTACTCATTCTTTTTACTGTGGAGCGAGGAATCCACCCAGGACCTCATGCATGCTAGGGAAGTGCTCTACCACTGACCTATGTCCAAGCCCGTCCATCAGTTCTGGCTTGTTACTGGCTTTTCCTTTTGTTTGTTTGTTGGTTTTGGGGGAATGAATTACCCAGTAGTTGGTTTACTAGTTTGACTTGTAAAGTTTCTTGGTATCGTCTCATACGGTGAGCCTCACACTGACCTTGCTCTCCCCTCAGGCTGCCCATCCCCAAACTTGAAGACACCATGAGGCGATACCTCAGTGCACAGAAGCCTCTCCTGGATGACAGCCAGTTCAGGTAAACACTGAGAATCCTGGAAACCATTGCTAGCAGGCAGGGGTCAAGGGAGGCAAGCAAGTAGTGGTCACAGACCAGACTTCAAGGGCTGTCTGTGGCCTGACAAGGCCTCCAGAACCTAGGACTGGTTTATATATGTGCAAGTTCAGGAACTGGGTCTTCATTCACAAAGGACTAATCAAGCTGGGGTGAGAGCCCTCTAACTAGACTCAGCAGGATGGTTTATAAGACTAGTGGCATGTTTGTGCTTTATCTCGGAAGACATGGCTGCGAGGCTGGCTGGTACTGGTCATATTCAAGAGGCCTGTGTGCTGGGGAGGAAAGTCCATAAAAGATTATGTGGCAGACCAGAGCCTGCTTCTGAAGATGTCAACCAGACTAGACACTATGCCCCAAACATGCCCTTTTAGAACCTCAGAATGTAATCTTGTATGGAAATCAGATTGTTGAAGATGTAATTAGTTTAGATGAGGTTCTTCTGGAATTGGGCAAGTCCCTAATCCAAAACGACTGATGTCTTATGAGAAGAGAGCCATGAAGGGCTGAGGTAGAGATTGGAGTGTTGTGTCCACAGGCTAGGAACACCGAGGATTGTTCCCAACATCAGAAGCCAAGAGAAGATCATGGAACAGATTCTGTTCCATGGTCTGCAGAGAGAACACCATGTCTTGTTGACACCTTGGTTTTGTACTTTCAGCCTCCAGGACTCCCAGAGAATAACCTTGGGGTTTTGTGTTTGTTTGTTTTTTGTTGTTGTTTGAGTAAAGATCTTGATACATAGCACTGGCTGTTCTGAACTCACTGTGTAGACCAGGCTGGCCTTGAACTCACAGAGGTCTGCCTGCCTCTGCCTCCAGAGTGCTGGTATCAAAGGTGTACCCTACCACGAATGTAAAATCCTGTTGTTTTAAGCTGTATTGTGTTCGTGGTACTTGTTAGAGTATTCTTAGGAAACCAGCATAGCACGGACTCTGAAGAGAACATTGGGTATTGTCAGAATGTGGATCGCATCACAGCCTGTAGCCTGGGATAATTGGTGCTGTTCCCATACTGGGGAGTTTCTGTACAGATTCTGGTGTTGTCATTAGAGTCACGGAGCCCTTCACTGCACAGGGAAAGAAACAGGAACTGTTCCTAGTCTAGCCTCTGCTTTGAAATAGTCACCTACAGTTCCTCTTAACGTGGCAACAAAGCCCTGGCTTCCCGTTACTGCCTGGTGCTTTCCTCTACCCTAAGTCCTTAGCGTTACGTTTTTAAATCCTTGAGATGGCGTTATTATCTCTCTTTTATAGATGTAGAAACTGAGACCTGGAGAGATTAGGTAACTTGTCCAAAGTCACCCAGTTAGAATGTGGCAGAGCTGGGATTCAAACTTGGTCCCTTCTGACCTCAAAGCTTTATGCCAAACCACCTCCTTGTGGACAGGTGGTTTTGTGAGGTACATTTTGAAAGGAAAAGTATCAGCGCAGGACCCCTGAGGCCAAGTTCTTAGCACCAAGGAGATTTATTTGCCCCAGAGGGACAAAGAGCAGGGAATAAGAGACCAAGACAGGCGATAGAGGATGAGGGAGGGGACAAGGGAGAGGAACAAAGGACTGCCTCTGGATAGAGAGGAGACTGACCTGGCACATAGGAAAATGGCAGTTCATAAAGATGAAAGGGGAAATCCTGTGTTAGGATGTCGTGTTTGATTTTAATTGGGCCTGTTAATTAGGTGAGCCAAAGGAGGCATTTGATTGCTGGACTTCAATACTTTGTAGCAGGTGGTCAGCCTCAGAAGAAGAGGTTAAATTAGGGAATAGAATTCAGGGCTTAGCTTTAGAAATGTAATCTAGGGCTGGAGAGATGGCTCACAGGTTAGGAGCTCTGGCTGATCTTCTAGAGGTTCTGAGTTCAATTCCCAGCAGCCGTATGGTGGCTTACAACCATCTGTAATGAGATCTGGTGCCCTCTTCTGGCCTTCAGGGACACATGCAGGCAGAACACTGTATACATAATAAATTTAAAAAACAACAAAGACATGTAATCTAATGGTTCTTAGCAAGGGGGGGGGGGATGGGGGAGAAAGGCAAAACCTGATAGTCCTGTGCTCGAGTGAGCTAGTGTCCTTCACTTTTGACCTTCCCAGTTCCCGAGGTGTATTCCTTAGGCGGATTGTGTTCTGAGATGTGTGTGTGTGTGTGTAACCCAGAGTGTGAATTCCTGGCCAGGTACCTGAAAATCATGTATTCCCCACCCTGGTTTTATCTCTCTGTTCTTGAACATTCCAGGAAAACAGAGGAATTTTGTAAGAGTTTTGAAAATGGCATCGGGAAGGAACTGCATGAGCACCTGCTTGCTCAGGATAAGCAGAATAAGCACACCAGCTACATCTCAGGTAGGATGGCGGGCCCCATTGTTCCCCGGCGGGGGCAGCTTCTCAGCTCTCCCCTTCCTGAAGTACATAGAGGGAGGCCCTTGAATCCCTGCACCTAAGAAGGCGTGGGCTGGCATCCAAGACCAGCGGCTCGCCTTCGCTGCACATGGGGTTGAAGCAGAGCTTGACTGGTTCTACTCTCTGGTGTCTTGAGTGTCACTCTGTCCCTTCACTGGCCCACCTGTCCCCCGAAGCCTCATCCTCATCTCACGTGCCGCTCTGATGCAAACCATGCTTCAGCCGACCTGCCTGCTGCGTCTTGCTTCCTGAACTCGGTCGGTCGGTCGGTCAGTCGGTTGTCCGTGTTGTTCTCATTTACATTTTGTTACTGGCAGATGCTTCCTTTGTGATTCAGGCAGAGCAGCTGGTCTATGAAACTCAGTTCTCTTCATCTTCTGTCTAGAGTTAGCGGCATCCACCCCCCCCCCCCCCCCCCCCCCGCTCTTACAGTTGTTTAAAATTTAGGGGGTTTTGTTTTTTTAATTAAAAAGTGTTTTATTGGCTGGGTGGTGGTAGTGCATACCTTTAATTCCAGCACTTGGGAGGCAGAGGCAAGTGGATCTCTATGAATTCAAGGCCAGCCTTGTCTACAGAGCGAGATCCAGGACAGCCAGGGTTACACAGAGAAACCCTGTCTTAAGAAAAAGCAAACAAACAAACAAAAAAAGAATTTTATTGGTTTTGAGATGGGGGTCTCCCTTTTGTAATCCAGATTGGCCTCTGCTTCAAGTAGCTGGGATTATAACTCTACCTATCATAATATAGTTTCTTAAAAATTATACATTTATTGATTTTTGGTGGGGGTTCCTGTGTCCCAGCATGCATGTGGAAGGGAGAGGCCAGATTACAGAAGTGAGTTCTCTCCTCCTACCATGTGGGCTCCAGGGCCAAATCTAGATTGTCAGCTTGACAGGAAGCACATTCACCCTCTGAGCCATTTTCCTGGCCCACAGTTTATAATTTATCTATTGTACCTACAGTTTAAAGAACCAAACAGGAGACTAGAGAGATGGCTCAGCAGTTAAGAGCACCTACTCCTCTTGGAGAGAAATGGGGTCTGGTTACCATTACCCACGTGAGGTAGCTCACAACTGCTTGTAACTCCAGCTCCAGGGGACCCAACCCATTCTTCTGGCCTTTGGGGGTTCCTGCACACATGTGGTGCACATACACTAATGCAGACTCACATTCATATACTTTTTTTTTTTTAAATCAAATTGTACTATAAGACTTATTGGATAAACAACAGTTGCCTGATTCTCCCTAATTTTGTGCTTTCCACTTGACTGTTGATTTATTTATTGACACAGGATGTAACCCAAGCTGGCCTTGGACTTATCCCGCTGCATCTGCCTCCTAAGGACTGGATACCACCACATCCAGCTTTAGTTCTTCAGGTCCTTATACCTCTAAATGATATACTTAAAATACTCCCTTTTATTTTGACATCTCATTAGCAAAGGGTAGACTCTAGCAGTCTTTTTACACACCTGCTCCCATACCCTTGTTTGCACAATATAGTTACAATTCTGGTCAACTGTATCTAGTGTTCATAGTGGCACAATCCTGTACATGCTGTTGTTGTCTGAGTCATGTGGTCCACTGGGGTTGTTTCTCCTTTACCACCTTCTCATTTTCTCTGGTAACGATGGTCTCATCCTTTAGTGGTCTTTTTTTCTTCTTTCCTTTTTTTTTTTTTTTTTGAGATGGGGTTTCTCTGTGTAGCCCTGACTGTCCTAGAACTCACTCTGTAGCCCAGGCTGGCCTTGAACTCACAGAGATCCGCCTGCCTCTGCCTCCCCAGTGCTGGGATCAAAGGCGTGCGCCACCACGCCCGGCTGTGTAACGTACTTCGGTGTATGTTCCTACTCATCTTTGCTGGGCCGCTGACTCAAACCTCTTACAGAAACTCAAGTTCTTCTGTTTGGGGATAGTGTGTTGTTTTATGTGTTTCATTTCTTCCCTTCTATTTACATTTTTCCCCTCTTTCTGTGCTGATTTGTATGTACATGTTCTGAGCCTAGTCCTCTCCTTTCTTATTCCTCTCATATTTTTCATCTCTTATTCTTTTGTTTTACCAATTTATTTTATCTTTCAACTGTTCTATTGAGTTTCTAATTCCTGGTCTCTGCTCTCAACTTCTCCTCTCTGCTCCACCAATTCTTTTTGGTTAGTATTTAAATTTTTTTAGTATTTACTTTGTGTGTGTGTGTGCACATGCAGATACCAGAGGACAGTTTGTAGGAGTTGGTTCTCTACTACAGCATGGGTCCAACTCAGGTCATCAGGTTTGGCAGCAGGTGGCCTTACCAAGCCCTTGATGAAGGTTTCTTTTTTAAAGTTTATTTTCAGAATTTTTTAAAGTTTTCTACTTGTTTGTTTGTTTGTTTGTTTGTTTTTCGAGACAGGGTTTCTCTGTGTAGCTTTGGTACCTGTCCTAGATCTCACTCTGTAGACCAGGCTGGCCTTGAACTCACAGAGATCTGCCTGGCTCTGCCTCCCGAGTGCTGGGATTGAAGTCGTGCGCCGCTGCTGCCGCCGCCACTGCCGCCGCCACCGGGCTAGTTTTCTACTCTTCTCATACTCTCTCTCCTCCAAGTTCATTTCCCTTTGATTTGCCTCTTTCTTTAGATGCTGCATCGTCCGTCCTTCCTTCCTTCCTTCCTTCCTTCCTCCCTCCCTCCCTCCCTCCCTCCCTCCCTCCCTTCCTTCCTTCCTTCCGTCTTACAGATGCCGGAGGTTCTCTGGATGAGGGTGGGGCTGGTCAGTTCTAGACGGTACTCTTCTGTGGTTGGGTTCAGCTGTCGCCTTGGGTGCCTCTAGTGGTCATGTCTGAGTGGATTCCCTAGGAAGGTGCTTCTATTAACCCCTCACTGGGTGCAGTGTAGAGAAGTGGGGTGGGGAGGTCGGTGAGCTCAGTTGTCTGTCTCCCAGCTTATCTTGATGGAGAGAACAAAGCCTGTGTTCTGCAAGAGTGAGGAAGGATTACGGAGTGGTTGGCAAGGATGTAATGATAACATTTCAGCCAGGTCCTCTGGAAGGTCTGCTGTGTAAACCGGATTGATTCTTGTCTTCTTGCCAGTTTGAGGTTGACTTTCTCATATCTGTTTGGGTCATCACCAAATGTCTAGACACTTTCACATTTCCAGTCTTTATTTTCTCATTCTCTAGACCTTAATGTTGGGTTGTTTGAGATTTTTATAATCCTAACCACCCAGAAGGCTGAAGAATTGAAAACTTGAGACAGCTGTGGCGAGAGTGAGACCCTATCTAGGGCCATCAAAAAGATACACACATAATAACAGTTGCCTGTTTTTTGTTTTTCTGTTTTTTTGAAACACAGTTTCTCTATGTAGTCCTAGAACTAGCTCTGTAGACCAGGCTGGCCTCAAACTGGCAGAGATTCACCTGCCTCTGCCTCCCAAGTGCTAGGATTAAAGGCATGTGCCAGCCACCACTGCCCAGCCAACGGTTGCTTTTGAAGGTGTGGGAATTGGAACTCTCATGTAGTAAAGAAAGCTATTGGAGTCCAGCCCCTCAATAGCCTTCACCCAGAGTTCCAGAAGAGACGTTACTGGCAACGGATTAATCTGAGAGGTTCACTAATAAATCTACATACACGAAATTCTTTAGTCCATTCACTTTATTATTCTGAGTCAGTTCCGTCTCTACACTGCTTGTATTCTGCTCTCATGCCTAGCTCCTTTCTTGCCTGATTCTCTCTACATTTATCTGCTAAGTACTGTCTTAATTCCTTTATCTAGTGCTGCCCCATCTAGGTTCTCATCCATCTAGTTCTTTTCCATCTTAGCTCCTCTCCCATCTCCTCTCCCATCCTGTTCTTTCTCATCTTGTTCTTCCCCACCTGGCTCTTCCTCATCTTCTGTCTCGTTCTTCTGGTTCTCTCTTCTAGCCCTCCAATCTAGTTCTTCCCCATCTAGTTCTTCCATTCTCTTTTTTTCTTGTCTCTGAAAGTAAAACTGCCTTTTATCTCTTTGGCCCTTACCTCTCCAAGCTATCTCTGCTCCCGCTGTTTCTGACAGGGTGGGGGAAGTGTGCTCGGTTGCTAGGTAACTTGGCTAGGCAACTTCTGTCACAGCTAGATGTACCTGTACCTAAAAACCCTTTAGTTCTGAGTTAATTGTTAAAGGTGGATCTAAAACTAGAGATAAGACTTTGGAAAGAAGAAAGTTAAGCTTAATTACCACATCCACCAGGCCTTCTTCAACAGATAGTCTGGATGCTTAAGTCTGTTCTTAGAGAATCTGTGAGGTATCTCAGATAAGATACTTTTGTCCGTCTGGGGAATGTTCTGGCCAGATGCTGCTAATGATGATAAACGGGAAAGCCTGAAATTAGGGGTCTTGACTGTGTCTGGTGTAGCACAGTTGAAGAAGGTTATACAAATACTTGAATTGTGTAGGGAAATGGTGCCCAATGAATGATGGAAAAACACATGAGAAATTCATAGCAGGAAACGGCTAATAATAAAAGCTAATATAATACCGAGACTCCTTGAGCCTTGGCTTCATCCTCTGGAAGAGTTCTTAACTCCTCCAGGTCTAGCTTTGTCATAATCAGCTGAATTCTATTTCATATTTTTTTTTCAGCTTGCAGCAACATAGTGTTTGTGGGTATTCCTCAAAAGGCTTAGCAGAAGCCAGGCATGGTGGCACACACTTTTAATCTCAGTATTTAGGAGGCAGAGGCAGGCGGATCCCTGTAAATTCAAGCCCAGCCTGGTCTACATAGTAAGTTACAGAACAAGGCCAGCCTGGTCTACATAGTGAATTACAGAACAGCTACATAGAGAGACCCTGTCTCAAATAAGTAAATAAAATAAGAAAGTCTTAGCAGAGCCTTACCTAGCTTAAGTATGTCCTTAAAAGGAGTGAGAACAAGGCCGGGTGGTGGTGGCGCACGCCTTTAATCCCAGCACTCGGGAGGCAGAGGCAGGCAGATCTCTGTGAGTTCGAGGCCAGCCTGGTTTCCAAAGCGAGTTCCAGGAAAGGCGCAAAGCTACCCAGAGAAACCCTGTCTCGAAAAAAACCAAAAAAAAAGAAAAAAAAAAAAAAGGAGTGAGAACAGGAGGCTGGAGAGATGGCTCAGTGGCTGCTCTTCAGAGGACCTGGGTTCAATTCCCAGCACCCACATGGCAGCCACAACTGTCTGTAACTCCAATTCCAGGAGATCTGAAACCCTCACACCAATGTACATAAAATAAATTTAAATAAATTATAAAAGAAGACGTGAGAACACATGTCCACACAAAAACCTGTATATAAAGGTTCATGGGAATATCACAGCTAAGTGGTGAAAAGAGCCCAGATGTCCATTACCTGATGAATGAATAAACATAATGTACTATATCCAGATGGCGGAACATTACTCAGTAGTAAAAAGAGAAGAACTGATACAGCTACAGCCTGGGGGAACCTCAGACCATTAGTGAAAGTAGCAGAATCCGGATGCCTAAGACCACGTGTCTGTGGTCCTGCTAATATAGCATGAATCGTTGGGCAGACGAAACGATCACCTTTGTGAATTGATGTCATCATTTCCTACACCTGAGCTGGAATTCTTTTCTTTCTTAAATTTTATTTTTAGGGATTGCATTAGCCTTTTATGTTTTCTCTTTTTCAGGTCCCTGGTTTGATATGTATTTAACTGCTCGAGACTCTGTTGTTTTAAACTTTAATCCATTCATGGCATTCAATCCGGACCCGAAGTCTGAGTATAACGACCAGCTCATCCGGGCGACCAACATGACTGTTTCTGCTGTCCGGTTTCTGAAGACACTTCGGGCTGGCCTTCTTGAGCCAGAAGTATTCCACTTGAACCCCGCCAAAAGTGACACAGACACCTTCAAGAGACTCATACGCTTTGTTCCTTCCTCCCTGTCCTGGTATGGAGCCTACCTGGTCAATGCGTACCCCCTGGATATGTCCCAGTATTTTCGGCTTTTCAACTCGACTCGTTTACCCAAACCCAGTCGTGATGAACTCTTTACTGATACCAAGGCCAGACACCTCCTGGTCTTAAGAAAAGGAAATTTCTATGTCTTTGATGTCCTCGATCGAGATGGGAACATTGTGAGCCCTTCAGAAATCCAGGCCCATCTGAAGTACATTCTCTCGGACAGCAGCCCTGTGCCCGAGTTCCCCCTGGCATATCTGACCAGTGAGAACCGGGATGTCTGGGCAGAGCTCAGACAGAAGCTGGTGCATGGTGGCAACGAGGAGACCCTGAGGAAAGTGGACTCTGCTGTCTTCTGCCTCTGCCTCGATGACTTCCCGATGAAGGACATTGTCCACTTGTCCCACTCCATGCTGCATGGTGACGGCACGAACCGCTGGTTCGATAAGTCCTTCAACCTCATCGTAGCCAAGGACGGCACTGCAGCAGTCCACTTTGAGCATGCGTGGGGGGATGGTGTCGCGGTGCTGAGGTTTTTCAACGAAGTGTTCAAAGACAGCACCCAGACCCCTGCCATCACTCCCCAGAGCCAGCCAGCCGCCACTGACTCCTCTGTGTCTGTGCAGAAACTCAGCTTTAAGCTGAGCGATGCTTTAAAGGCTGGGATCACCACTGCTAAGGAAAAGTTTGATGCCACCATGAAAACCCTCACCATTGACTCCATTCAGTTTCATAGAGGTGGCAAGGAATTCTTGAAGAAACAGAAGCTGAGCCCTGATGCAGTGGCCCAGCTGGCCTTCCAGATGGCGTTCCTGCGACAGTACGGCCAGACAGTGGCTACCTACGAGTCCTGCAGCACCGCGGCCTTCAAGCACGGCCGGACTGAGACCATCCGCCCAGCCTCCGTCTTCACTAAGAGGTGTTCCGAGGCTTTTGTCAGGGAGCCCTCCAAGCACAGTGTGGGCGAGCTTCAGCACATGATGGCTGAGTGCTCCAAATACCATGGCCAGCTGACCAAAGAAGCAGCGATGGGTGAGGCAGGGTGGGGAGAACACCGTGGGTCTTGTTGCCTCTGTGAGCCTCAGTAATATTCCACCCACTTCTGATCTCTAGCCATCACTTCGTTTAATCCACTTCCCTACTCCCAAAACGTTTTTCTCCTACCCTCGCCACGTCTGAAGAGCCAGAGCAGCCACTGGGGATCAGCATCTAAGCAGCTATGGGGAACTTTCTCCCCATTTAAGGTCACTTTCAGCTGTGAGAAATGGTTGGTTTTGCTGTTTTATTTTTTCCCCTGCCCCTTATTGGTCATGGGCACATTTTTGGCAGTTCAGGATTTCTAAGCCTGCCCCTCCTACTTCATCTCAGCTACAGTGTTGGCTCTCTGTAAATAGGTCATCTCAGAAGCTCATCACAACTTTTTTAAAAGATTTTTTTATTTTGTGTATATGAGTGCTCTAACTGCATGCCAGAAGGGGCATCAGATCCTATGTAGATGGTCCATGTGGTTGCTGGGAATTGAACACAGGACCTCAGGAAGAGCAGCCAGTGCTCTTACCTGCTGAGCCATCTCTCCAGGCCCATTCATCACCATTTGAAGGGTCATTTTTCTTCAACTCTTTGTGATAGAATTCAAGACCTGGAGAGGATGTCTCAGCCCAGTCCTGTTATATAGCACTAACAGCCCTGGGACTAAAAGGTACCGAGACACCTAGTTATTCCGTCTCCATTTTGAAGTTAGGAAGCTAAGCCACTGCCCAGTGTTACACAGCAAGCTACGATCAGAACCCTGGGTGGATGCTTTTTCCGCTTTGTTCCACCAGTCAGTCTTTTACACATGGACTTTGAGTTTTACCCCTGTGTACCTGTGTGCATGCGTGCTGTTGAGGAATGAGCCGTGTGTGTGTGTGTGTGCGTGTGCGTGTGCGTGTGCGTGTGCGTGTGTGTGTGTGTGTGTGTGTGTGTGTGTGTGTGTTGTTAAGGAATGAGCCCGGGCCTTACCCACTGAGACTTGTTCCAGTTGGGAAGTTCGATGTTCTCTTCATCTCTCCTCACACCATCTTGACTCTGATGGACTGATTCAGTCTTTTGTTTGTTTAATTTTTTTAGATCTATTATTTTATGTGTGGAAGTGTTTTGCTTGCGTGTATGCATGCACCATGTACATTCCTGATGTCGGTGGAGCTCAGAAGAGAGCATCGTATCTCCTAGACTTGGAGTTACAGGCAGTTGTGAGCTGCCATGTGGGTTCTGAGAATTGAACCTGGGTCACCTGCAAGAGCAACAAATTCTCCACTGGGCCAGCTCTTCAGCCCTTGTTTGTTTGGAGACAGGGTTTCTCTGTGTAGTCCTGGCTGTCCTGGAACTGCAATGTAGACCAGGCTGTCCTGGAACTGCAATGTAGACCAGGCTGGCCTGGAACTCAGAGAGATCCTCCTGCCCCTGCTTCTGAGTGTTGGGATATTAAAGGTGTGGGCCACCATTCATGGCCTTTTGTTTTTTTAAAGTTTATTTATTTATTATGTATACAGTGTTCTGCCTGCATGTATGCCTGTAGGCCAAAAGAGGGCGCCAGATCTCATTACAGGTGGTTGTGAGCCACCGTGTGGTTGCTGGGAATGGAACTCAGAACCTCTGGAAGGGCAGTCAGATGCTCTTAAC